ATATATAAAAGTTTATGTTTTACAATGATTGCGTGGTATTAATAAATACTGAAAATTAAATATTAAAGCATTTTTTACCCCAGTACAAAGAGCGGTTATCTAGCTAATAATTATCATAGAAATGAGACAAAAAAAGAAGTTTTAGTACTGTGGTGCCAGATATTTATTATTTCCTACTGCTTTAAGAATTTATGTACTTATTTGACGAGATACCTATCAGAATGATGATAAATATTTATTATTTATCATAAATTATCTATATTTTTAGGTGATGTATGGTCTAACAGAATGTGGAGCTATAGCACAAATGGGAAGTGACATTGATTGCGAAACTGCAATGAAAGGGTTTCTTGAGCCCTGTGAGCAAACAGAGGTTAGATAACATTATTTGACTAAAGAAGGTGCCTTAGACATTAGATTGCATGATGATAAGAAAAATCAGTTTTTTTTTCCATTATCAAATAGTGTTTCAAATATTTAAAGCACCGCAAATATTCCAAAAAATCAAAATCTAAAATTTGATTTCATCTATAAAATTTTCGAAATGCTTATTTTTCTTTCAAGCTGATTTTACTGCTCAACATTGTGATTTTTTAAAAGATAATTTAATTAAGTATTTTTGTTTGGCATTCAGTATTTTTAAATAAATATGACATCTTACAAAATAATTCGATTGTGTATAACCAAAATGAACTATAGGAAAGTTGTTGGAAATGGCTTAATAGTCCAGTAATTATAATAAAAAGGGGGTGTTTATCCGAAAAATTATTACCTGAGATATTTTGATTATAAATTTTTTATGCTATTGTTAGTGATACCTGAAATCTCCATTACTCTCTTCTGTACGCTTGAGCGAGGCCAATGCCGAGCGTGAAAAAATATATAGGAAGCAATGTCTAACTTGCCTGTCCCAAAGAAATCCACACCTCAATTTCCTCTCATTTCCCAAAAAAATAAAGGGGGGGGGAGTGGAGGAGCAGGGAAGTTTTCAGGTGTCATTTATAATAATAGAACAGAGCTTTCTGTGGAAAGAATCTTGGTAAAAATTTTTCTAAAGAAAGATTTAAACTTTTTTCTGATTGTCACAAGTCGTCAATTCAGTCGCATTTAGTCGTCAATATCAGATGCATCGTTCCAAAACTCATAGAGTTAGAATTCGGACGTAAATATTAATTACGCAAATTTATTTATCAAGTTATGTTTTTTTATTTTTAACTTTAACTGATCAAGTTAAAAATAAGAAACATAACTTGATTAATAAAAAAAATCACATTTAAAATTTGATTAATAAAAAAACTTTCCCACAAGGTGAAGCGCAAATATTCGAAGGAGAATTATTTTATTTCTCAATATATATCTATTTTCTATCTATAGTAAAGGCTTCATATATCCTTGCGTATGGTAGTAGAGGCCTTGTTGTAAAGGTCTCTTTTGTTTCTTTCAATATTATTGAGAGTAAAGACTTCTTACTTCCTTGCCCAAGATAGTTAATATTAAAGGCATTGTTGTAACGATCTCTTTTATTTCTTTCAATAGAATTAACAGAAAAGGCTTCTTATTTTCTAACTGGTGACAAATAATAGTAAAGGACTTGTTGTGAAGGTCACTTTTATTTAATAGGTCAAGATAATGTGAAGTATAAGTTTTCGTTTGTCTCAATATAGATAATAATAGCTTTGTAAAGCTTATGACAATAAAAGCTAAAGGCTTCTTTTATTTCGCAAGTCAAGATAATTTATAGTAAAGGCCTCTTGTTTTTCTTTCAAAATTGATAGTCAAAGGTTTATTGAAAAGGTCTCTTTTGTTTCCCAGCTCAAGATAATTGACAATAAAGGTTTTGTTGTCCCAAAGAATGTTAAAGGAGAGATATGTAGTAGAGGATATACAACTTTCTTGGGATATTTTGACGATAAAAATAAAACAGCCAAATCAGTAGATAAGAACAATTGGTTTCATACTGGGTAAGTGATATTGAAAATATTCTCTCAATTTTAGAAAATCGTAAGGCCACTGCTTTGGATTTTCGACTGAACATTACATTCTGTTTCACTGTGCAAAAACATTAAGACATAGAAACTTGAAATTACTAAGATACAGTAGAAAAGTATACAGGAATAACAATGAATTAAAAAAAAATAACATACAATAATCTGTTTGAGAATTATTAACGGTTTGACTTGTTGGAAAAATTACCGTTTGGGTTGCTCATTAAAAAAAAATATATTTGAGGTTTGTCTAAATCGCGCACTTGTTGAGCGCAATTGAAACTGCTCCGGATTCGTAAAAAAGAGATCATAGCAAATTAACAAAAACAAACTTTTAATTATGACAAATAACAACTATGAGCCACGATGGCTCAGGGGATAGAGCGTTCGCCTTCCAATGGGGTGAACCTGGTTCGAATTCTGCATCCGCCTTGCACCGACCGCAGTGCTTACGTGAAATATCCTCAGTGGTAGGCGGATCATGGGTAAGAGTCCCCTTGCCGTCAGACTAACCGTGGGAAGTTCTCGTGGTCTTCCTCTCCATGTAACGAAAATGCGGGTTAGTTCCATCAAAAAGTGCTCCACGAAAGCAAATTTCTCCCAATACTTAATCCAGGAGTTCCCCTGGGTTCTGGATTGGGTTCAAAATTGCAAGTCTACAGAGTTGAACATCAATGGTCGCAAACCCCAAAAAATTGGGTCGACTGTTCAACGACGGTTATAAAATAAAATAACAAGTATATCGATCTTTAAGATCATCTAAATCAAATTTCGCAGTCTATTCGAAATATATTCAAATCTTCAGTATAAAGTTATCAAAACATATCGATTATCAAAAGTGATCTAAACACCTAAGAACTCGAGGGGAGTCCACAATGAAGTTTGGATTGCAAATTCACGTGCTTTCTCGTACTGTTTTTCTCTTTTTTGCTTTAATAGCTTTTTTGCCTTGTGCGTTATAGAAGATATATTTTTCTCTCACGAGATCTTTATATCTTTATTTTATGAGCTAGTGCTAGAGTCATAAAGTATAGTAATCAGTCAAAAGTAGCAAGAGAGAGATCAGATTACATGTTGCCAGATATGAAACGTAACATTTATCGTGAAATTCTTACAATTACGATATTACAATCTTATATTTTGAAACCGAAATAGTCTGGTTTTTTGTGAGTAATATTCGCGTTTAAAAAGAAATAAAAATTATGAATGAGAAATAATTATGGGGATTGGCGAGCGGAGAAAGCAGGGGGCGAAGCCTCTTAGTATTATAAAATTTCAATTTAATTCAATTTTAATTTAATTTAAATCAAGTATTTCTGTATCAAGTATTTCAATTTAAATCAAGTATTTTTGAAAATCGAAATGATAGTATTTATTTTTGCTTAAAAAAATAATTTTTTTTGAGTTAGTAGATCAAAATAATTAAAAGGTTTATTTAATCTATTTAAGTAGTAAATTGAAATTAGAAGAAGAGAGAAACATTTTATAGAAAAGTGGAAAGTATCACTGAGATTTAGAAAAGATAATTATTAGATTTTGTTAATACTAATATAATTTTGTAAACACGCGTAATGCAAAATATTACACCAGCATCTTTAAGATTTTAATTTTTAGCACCTTTTATTTTTTGTTTCATGAAAATTAATAAAAGTTTGGAGTAAGTGTACTTGTTCTAAAATGTAATTCTAGTAAAATATTGAAATTATTTGTCCTCTTTTTAGTTTTTTTTTCTAGTTATATGTATTCAAAGTCAGTAACGCATAGCATTGTTGCTATATTTAAGGTGAGGGGGATTTAATTATAGACATGTCAACTTTCATCTATCAAAAGGTACCTCGTGATGGATTCAAGTTAACAAGTCTTATATACTATTGATTTGGTATTTAATATTTGTAGTGGTAGTTACGCCACATTACTCCCCTTCCAGAATTGTATCTGTGATAGAATTCGATGTACAATTACCACTAGTTGATTAATGCTGTTTAATTTTTGCTCATTATATATTTTTTTAATTTTTTTTTCTTCCAAGCATTTCGCTTGTTATTTTTTTTATAGCTTTTCGCTATTTTTTACCATCATTTTTTTTAATAGCTTTTCGCTATTATTATATTTTTTTTTCTAGCATTTCGCTCATTATTATTTATTAACCGGGAGACTTTATTTACTTCACCGGATTTTTTTTTCTTTGAGCAGTTTATAATAGGCAAATCAACTGTTTAATGTGGATTCATTCATCAATATTGACAATTTCTTATCACGTCCGTAGGTCACCAATGTGGGGAATTATATATCGACTATGTCAACCTTCATCTATCAAAAGGTACCTCGTGATAGAATCAAGTTAACATNTATCAAAGGAAGCATCAGGTTGTAAAATTGAAAATACTCTTGCTTTAAACGGAATATGTTTGTTCATAAAACGAAAAATAATGTGTGCAGAAAAGTGACACAATACAATTAGAGCTTAATGTCAGAAACATTAAAAAAAACTGGCTTGCTGTATAAAGCAAAACATTTTTTATGTTTTCTTATTTCCCCTTTCTTTTTCTGCAGGGATATAGGTATCATGAACAATAAGGGATGGGTGAAAATTGTTGGAAGAATCAAAGATATGGTGATCCGAGGTGGAGAAAATATTTTCCTAACAGAAGTAGAAAATTTCTTAAGTACTCATCCAGCTGTTCTTCAAGTAAACGTAAATAATCATCAAAGTTTTTTCACACTTATATGAAAACTAAAAATAAATTTTATTACTTTCAAGAAGATAAGAACTTCATTATCCACTTTATCATCCGAAAATGGCATTAAATTTTATATGTCTCTTCTAATTAGTTGGATAATGGCTCCGGGACAAACTATTTCCGAAAAATAATATAGTTGAAATGAAATCTTGAGGAGGTCAACACCTTTCGAAGATATGATATCGTGGATACATATTAATTCTTTCGTATGTAAAACACTATAAAAAATAAGACAGTTATTATATTTATACGAGTCTCCGTTCTTTCTAGAATTTAGTCGGATAACTTACATTAAGTTTTTAATATCTCTATAGTCTCTCAGATTGAACAGACTGCAGCTCTACGAAAAACTTAAGGAACAGTGTTTTGGATTAAAAATTTAAAAAAATTGGTCATCATCACCCTTACAAAAATTTAAGGTTGTTTTTAAAGTTGACTTTAAAAACAACCTTAAAAAAAACAACCCCCCAAGGTTTAAAATAAAATTATATAAAGTTGTTTCATTTATACGTGAGGTTGTTTTGTAATTGATAGAAACCAACTTTTAGGCAACCAGCTTAGAGAAGTTGCTTTTGAGGTGCACATGTTATTTTTTCTCCACTTCAAGCAAATAAGTATACAGGGTGTCCCGAAACGACAGCATAAACTCTGCACAGCTAGAATCCTCGTTGGGAGTACTTAAAAACTGCACAAAGAAGCGTTCCTGTACGATCCATAGTTTACGAGAAAAATACGAAAAACAAAGTATGACGTCACTGGCAGTGCAAAAAAAACACTTTATTGAACATATCAACAACAGTATNAACTGCCCAAAGAAGCGTTCCTGTACGATCCATAGTTTACGAGAAAAATACGAAAAACAAAGTATGACGTCACTGGCAGTGCAAAAAAAAAAACACTTCATTGAACATATCAACAGCAGTATATTATGCACAATTTAAAGCAGATGTTCAAAGTGTCCGCCGTGCATGTCGAGGCTGGCTTGAGCACGCAGTGGATATGTCCAATAAAGTGTTTTCTTTCTTGCACCGGCAGTGACGTCATACTTTGTTTTTCGTATTTTTCTCGTTAACTATGGATCGTACAGGAACGCTTCTTTGGGCAGTTTTTATGTACTCCTAACGAGGATTCTAGCTGTGCAGAGTTTATGCTGTCGTTTCGGGACATCCTGTATTTAAAGTGTGAATAATTTCATCTAAAATTATTACTGAGCTATCTATATATCAGGTTGATTTTATGAAGTGTAATGGAGGTTGAAAAGATGAGGTTATTTTTACGTGCAGAACAAAACCTAATTTTCTACCTCAAGTGTATTTTTTTTGCATATATCAACCTTTAAACAACCTCAAAATAATTTTGTTTTTTTAAGGGCAGGCACATAATAAAAGTATCCAATATTTTCCTTTACATGTTATGCATATACATGTTAGATTTACGAATAAAAATCCTATATGAAGCAAATATGCTTCTCCGCTCCGGTGGTACAGTTCGTCAAGGATTCGTTCACATCTCAGGAGAAGAGTTGAGGTCGTGAGTTCGATACTGGTCGATAACTAAGCAAGTGGCGTGCATCTATTGGGGCTGAATGTTTATCTGTAGTTGTGGTGAGGAAGTTTATATTGAGAGGTATCAGCTCAGACCAACACCTCCTAGAAGAACGAAGGCCTCAGCACGGATCAATTTAGTAGTCCGACGTGACGAACATAAACTGCGCAGTGGTGGAATTACGAAAGATGTCATTACGTTTGGACTACTAAATGATCAAACTTCTTGTTTATGGTAACCCGTGCTAAGGTCTTCTCTTTTCTAGGAGGTATTGCTCAGACACTGTTCATGTTGCCTTACCTGGGTCAAAATAGTGTATCTTTCTTACAACGACCTTTGAAATATGAAATTCTGAAATACTGGACAAAGAGCTGGACTATGAGTAAGTGATGATGGACTTAAAGTGCAAACAGCATCTGGTCACTTGCATTGAATTCTTCCGATGCCCAAAATATGAATTTTTATTTTTATTATATAGTTATATTTGAAAACAGCACATCTAACACAGACAAATAAGAGCTAAATTTTAAAAATACACTGTCTTCTAATTAAACTTAATAACTGCCAAAATTTCACTGTAGTTGGTTTGGAACTAGAAGGTGATTAAAAATGTTCAGTCCTTCGGAATTCATACTCTTAAATGTTTTGCATAATGTATGAAGTGTTTAGGTCTAAACTTTTGTAATTTGTAGAGATCGATAAAATTTTAGAGTTGAGTTGCATAGAAAATTATTTTTCATATCGTTTGAAGTAAAATTTTTGGATCAGAAAAATTTTATTTTGTAAAAATGGAGTTATCTTAAAACAGAAATTTAAAGACTCATATATTTAGCAAATCTTCAAATTTTTCCGTTTTTTTATTAAGTTTAGTTTAAAACTCTGTTTAATCAGCATAATTGTATAACATAATACTGTCTTCGTTTAATTCAGTATATCTAATTTCTGCTATTGATCCGATAAACTCTATATTCAGCTTGATTTCCTTTAATTTTCCTTCAAACGAACAACGTCTATTAACATTATGTTGCACATTTTTTTTTGAGTTGTTGCTATGGATTGCTTAACTGTTACACATTTGTTCAAATGCTACAAATGTTTTTTAAGGACATTTTTGTCACTGTCTTGTTGAAACTTTATTTCTCATAAAAATCCTATCTTCAAAAAAAACTTTATCGATGATTCTACAAGCAGTAAATTGGCTAGTAAGACATCATACTTAAACGTTGAAAGCTAAAAAGACAGAAGATTAAAAATAATGATTCATAATTATTTGACAAATATGATGCAGCAGTAAGATCATTAACAATAGAGTGTTTGTTATTGATGATGTAGAAACTCTTTTAAAGTTCCAGGTCACCGCATGAAAAACATTTATGGATGATATGAAATGAAGAAAAATCAAACTTAGGCCTTCTATACATTAGTGTTTGTTGCGATAGATGAACGGTGCAGTTCTTGGTTCTTGACGTAGCCCTGATGTTCTTTGAGTCGATGTGAGAGGGTTCAATTAGTTTGTCCTATGTGGACGGCCCAGATTTACATGAAATTTTGTATTTTTCTCAGTTGTTAAGGCATTCAATCGGTTGTTTGAGGTAGAGAAAGTGACTTAATTGTTCGGAGAAAAGATAGTTTCGAATTTGCATTTTCAGAGAATTTTAGGTATTCGGAAACTAATTAAAAATATAAAAAAAAAACTCTGTTGGTTTTAATCATTATACCATTCTTTTTTTGTATCCTAATGATGAAGGTACATCATTCTGAAATAGGATGGTATTAGAAAGGTATTCATTCTCAGTATAGGTTTTTATAAATTATTGCTGTTTGTATATATTGCCATTTAAGAATTGTTTTTAACGAATTTTATTTCACCACAAAGAATTACTCTCGTAATTTCATAATATTAATAACATTGTTGTTAACACAATCTGCTTAAATTTAGAATTAAACTTTTGATGAATTCACTATTGATTGATTAAAATTGACTTCAGATATGTGGCGTTCCTGATGAAAGATTGGGAGAAGAACTTTGCTGTTGGATTGTTTTAAAACCAAACATGAGTCTCACAGACGAAGATGTTCGAGAATATTGCAAAGGAAAGGTACTAATAGCAAATAAGGACGTTTTGTAAACTTGTAGCGTTTTATTATCAAATGTTACTTAGTGTAAGCTTGTTACGCATTATTAGCAGACCAAATTTTGAAATTTTCTCCTGACTGAACTATTCGCAGATTGTTGCTATATTTTGGAGGTCAGAAATCCAAGTCCGTCCGAAAATATGTATGTTAATTCAGAGAAAATACGTTTCTGTGTCTAATTTCGTAACTCAAAATATCGTCTGCACTAATTAATTAGCATGTTTGAGATTACATCCTCGAGCCATTAAGATGGAGTCCTAGAGCGTGAAGATGCAATCATTAGATCAAAAGCTATTCAGATTTGATCTGCACACTGTATAGAAATTAATATGTTCGAGTAGGTCTTAAGGATACCGTACAATTTTTCTTCAATGTTAAAATATATTTAAAATTGCTTACAACCACACAAATTAACATTTGGTCTCTAAGAACAATTTTTTTCTTGATATTAAAAATAGTAAGCACCACCGTATTTTGGGTGATCAACTTTACGTTGCATTGAGGTGATCAACTTGCTGTGCAAAAATTGTTAAACTTAGATTTACAATTGCAAACTAAAAATTACAAAGGCGTGTAGAAACTATGTAAGGGAATACGACCGAATAAAAAAAAAATAACACTTAGTTTATGACTTATAAACTATTTAACTTTCAATAAAACATAACATGCTCGCTGACTTGCAACTCGTTAAAACGAAACAACGGAGTTGAAATTTGACATGCTGGTAAGAGCTATTCTATTTTGCAATCTTAACGCGAGTTTTTCTTCGAAATTCCAAATTTTTTATATAGTTATTGCAATTGTAAGTACTTTTATACTATATTTCTCTCAGTATTCGTTGAGTAAATATATCTTTCTCTTTACAGATAAGTCATTACAAGATACCTCGATATGTAATGTTCGTGGAAGATTTTCCAAAAACAACCACAGGGAAAATTAAGAAACATGAAATGACGGAGATTTCTAAAACGAAGCTGAGCTTGTAACACCATCAAAAAACTAAAATAACTAGCTCAATTCTTTCTCTATTTTTGTTTTTAATTTGAATATCTTTAAAAGATTCTTTATGCTACTTTTGAAATTTGGTATTTATCAAATGTTTATCTGCACATATGTTGTGATGATTTAAAATTTGAATTTTATATAAAACCTGCAATTCCTCTTGCTATTTTTTAATAATTTTTTATGCTTCCAGTATAAACTTTTTTATTTTTTATCTCATATCATCCTTAGTATCTTTGTATATTCTCATATTATTACATAATCCTTTAAAAATATACATGCAATTTCAGTATACACCCTATATGGATCAAGCGATTTCAAATTTGCTTGTTTTTTGCATGACTTGCTTACAACATTGTATTTTATATGTTTGTATAACCACCTGTTTTGAAAAAATACTAATGTCTGAATCGTAATATTCTACTCTTAAATGGATTTTTTAACCTTGATTACAAGAATGCAAAACGTTATTAAAGTATGAGTACAAATTTTAATCTTAACAATAAAACACAGAATTTTATTTCTCAGAAACAAACTTGTTCTGTTGTTTTCTCTTAAGAAACAACTTATGCTCTATACTTTCCGTTTCACTTGTTAGTAGCAATGAAATTATTTATTTCAAAAACAAAGTGCTTCCAATTATTAAAGCTTTACCAAAATAATATAAGGTGAGTAAATCTGCAATTATTATTTTCATCATTTTTGAAGTCAGAAGTAAAATAAATTTTTTGAAGCAATTAGAATCAATTTGAAATTATTTGACAAATGCATACCACAAACCTGAGTGACCATGATCATATATATGCGAGAGTTATTCAAATCCAATATTATATTATATTATTCAAATCCAATCAATGTTATTGAAATTATATTATTCAAATCCAATCATTGTTTGTATTTAGTTGGATCATTTTTTAATTAACTACCTTAAACATGAGTGACTCTATTTAACGTTATTTTATTTTATTTTTAATTAATATATATTTTACGCCTGAATACAGACATTTATTTAATTCTTGCGTAATTCAGGTGACTAAGAAGTTAGGTTTTGAATTGAATTTAAACGTTGTTTGAGAAAAGTTAGAAAAAAAAGCATTCTGTTATTATTTACGTACCTTAAACCTGAGCAACTTAATTAACCATACAAAATATTTAAACTATATTTTAGATTGAGTGCAAAGAAATAAATAATTCTTACGTAATTTGGAAGACTTAGAAGGTAGATTGTGAATTTAAATGGATCCTTGTTTACATATAATTGGAAGTACAGAACTTTGTTATTGTTTAAGTTTTTAAATTAGTATAAGTCATGAAACTTTTTGGAGTAACCGATGAAGTTGTAAAGGCATTTTGCAAAAGGTAGTTGGTATAAACCACAAGTATTTTTTTTTCATTGTTCGAAAAAGGGGAGATTTTGCTTAGTGTTAAGGTTTACCATAATTCTAATCTTATTTTAACTTTACAGCGCATGCGCAAATATTTCCTAGCAAATCGTAGAATCTCTAAGCAGTAGAAAATGAGGTTAGAGTTACGGTTAACGTAGGAGAGATGTTGTGTGAAATCTCTCTAACAAAAACGAGTCTGCATTTTTCATTCGCTTATGTTAATATTAAATCGAAAACGGTTATCGTTGATGAAGGTAGAAAAAGTTAATTATGTACAATTAAGAGTTACTTAGTAGTATTGATATGAAAATTCTGTCATTCTGTGATATAAATGGATAAATGTGATGAGATTTATTCTGCTATGTCATGAGATTTTCTATTAAAAAGCACTGAGTTGTTTTAGTTCAAGAATTGTGCAAAAGCATTTCGTGCTATTGTTTTCTTCCACGTTAGTATTGTGAGTTAGGTACTTAGTGATTGAAAGCTCTTTCTTTTGAATGTACGAAGAAAATTAAGAATATAAAAAACTATGCGACTTGCCCAGAAAAATAATTAAATTTGTGTTGTTTATAAATGGAGCTAAACAGCGCAAAAAGGTTGCAAATAATGTCACATAAAAAAATTGCATAACATACTCAATTCCACAATAGAGCTTGCATGATAATATGAATTTTTTTTATGTCTTTTATAATAAAAAATTCTTTTTTTCTGAGGTTGATTCTAATGGTATACGGAGATAAAAATTCTAGTAAAATTACCATACTGTATGGTCATGGAATTTCTGGTAAAAAAAATCCATAATTTTGGTTAAACCAAAATACGTATATGGTATTTAAACCATTCATTAACAAATTTTTCCGCATTGATAAGGTAACGGTTTACTGGAAATTCTGGTTTTTACAATTATTGTTCTTATTGCCCCATGTTCAGTAAAAAATACAAAATTAAAAAGTAAATTTAACGGAATAAATGGCTTTTAATCTACGTTCTAAGAAACCATTATAAAATTACCAAATTCTATCACGGATTATAAATTTATATTTTATTGTTAATTTTACTAACGCATTTTGCAAAACATTAACGAGTTTTTTGTTGTTCCCATAGCGCCAGAAACACGGTAAATTTTATCATAGTCTGGTACTTTTTGCCATACTTTTTTTTCTCTCAGAGTGGGATAATTCGTAGCTTTTAAAGGAATGTTTTAAAGGCATGCTTTCAAAGGATTGTTTTGGGAAGAGTGCGAAGAGAAATACATTTAAGATTGAAAAAAAAATTTTTTAAAGCGGTAATCCAATAATACATAGGGAATAATAGGTTCACTTCTGTATTGTTCGAATTCATATTAACATTCTCTGTGCTTGTGTTATACGGAAGTTCGATTTACAACTTATTTTATTTGAAGAACTAGCGCATGCATGTAGCAAATTAAATTTCTGATTCTTACATTTATATACATATATATGATCTTGTAAAAATAACTTTGTTGATTCTTTCTTATGTGTATCATATCTTACTATAATTATAAATATTAGTGTTACTGAATAATAAGCATGTTGGTGATTATTTACATCAAGTAGTGAGAAAGAACTATCTTCAATGAAATTGTTTCTATTTTGGTTTTGTAGTAGCAGAACACTTAGTGAAAAGCCACTTTGGTGTAAAGTGGTTTCCACCGTTTTTGGATGCATGAAAACGCAATTTAGAAATAAACATTGCTAAATAAAGCAGTTATTTTGTATATCTTTTGACGTAATGATTGACGTGGCAGCTACTTTACACTAAGTAATGTGAAGAAATATTTTTTGTGTTACCCTATACCAGGTATGGTGAAATACCAAGAACCATGGGTAGTTTATGGTGTTTCCCTATACCACTTGGTTTTAAAATAATTGTAACCATTTTTGGGGTTATGATACTCAAAGTTTCTTTTTTTCAATGAATAAAAAATTTACATGAAAATGTGAATTGCAATGTGAAACAAATGTGATCTTAAAGTGCAAATGTGAGAAATTAACATCTGTATTTTTATCAAGTTATTCGATGATCGCCTGATGTTTGCATAAATTTTAGCACATTTAGTTGTATGGCATAGTTAATAAAGCATTAATTTAGTTAAAAATATTTATATTAAAAATTTAAGAATTTGTAGTGCATATTCACAAAATTAATCTCTAAAATCTCCCATAAAAAGCATTTTATTCAAACTTTCATGAAAAATCTTGAGTGCGACCCTCATTAATTGAAAATAAATTTTACTCAAACAAAAAATCAACACATACTGGCATTGAATTTATTTTTAAAAGAACACACAAGTAAAAAGAGAACACAAGTAAATGCTGAGATTCTTTTAACAATGTTTCGATTTTTCGTTTAAATAATATTGTAGAAAATAATAGTGCATTAAAAGTGAAGTAAACACTATAAATAAAAAAAAAATAATTTCACATGAGTTTTTGTTTCTGGATAGCTAAAATTTACCCAATAACCTTAAGATAAAAATCATAAAATTTTCTTTCGACACTTTTAACATCAATTTTCTACATGATATTTTTTATGTTTTTATAATAATTAAACTTGCAGACAATTGTGATTTGTTGCAAAATAATTCAATTCATATATTTATTTTTTGAGATTCAATTTTTCCACCGAAATTCTTGCCATTTCTGTTTTTCGAACTTTTCCAGACGTTGTCGTAGGAAATTTTTCCACAAACATGATATAGCGGGGGATCTTATAATAGCTGATCTGGAAGGAAAAACAATTCATATGAAAATTTATTAAACATACACAATTTAAATTATCATGAAATAAGAAAATAGGAAGTTTAAAAAGTTTAAAGTTTTTGAGTACTGAATGTAAATTTATACGTGACAAAAAAGATAATAAGTGACAATTTTAGAATAATAATATTTATAAACAGTGGTAATAATAGTAGAAAAGTTACATTTTAATGCGATTTCTCCAAAATGAATTCAATCTGGTACTACTTGATGCCGTTTATTTTTATAGAAGCGAAAAAAAAATCTAGTAAAGTGTTTACAGTATTTTGCATACCCAGAAACAGTTACACATCAATGAATTGTCCTTAATTTACAAAATCAACTAATAAATTTTTGAATATGAATGAAAAAAATATTTTTACTACTAAAAAATACTTTCTTTTGAATTTTATATTTTGGTACAAATGTAATACAGATAATTTAATAGACTTTTCAGTAACTATTACATTATTTATTATAATTAAGAAACACCAAAATATAACTTTTGCGTGTAAATAGAGCACCAGAAAAAAATATATGAAAGCGACACCGACGTCCCATCATCGCAAAGATATCTAATGCCCCAAAGTTTCACTCCAAAGTGAATTTCCAAAGCCACGTTCTTCCCTTGTTTGTGCAAGAAACTGCATGTTTCTTGGTTTAAAAATTTAAATCCAGATCCGAAAATAAAACAATTCGATAAATAATGTTAGATAAGTTTGTCCGATATACTGCACGTCAGGTCTGATGGAATCTTAAATTAGATATCTACTTTCACTTTTTTATTTAAAAGTTAGTGTCTGACCAACACTATATTAAAGAAATTCATATTCTTGGTAGAGTTTAGAAAATCTATGGGCGTTAACATATCAAATTCTCTAGAATCTACGACAATTGGTGATTAATTTTAGCTCTACTATATATAACATAGTTTATATAAATTTTGAATAAAGTAGTCAATTTAGGAAAGCTCTTAAACTTTTAAACTGTATCAGTGAGAAATATACCTTTCCCTTGCAGAAGTTACGGACCTCTTCTTCTGTAAGATTCATTCCAGGTTCAACATGAATCCAACAGCATAATTCTTCACCTAATCTTTGGTCTGGAACACCGCAAATCTACACACATGCAAAATAGTTTCAACTTCATGCAAAAAACTTTCAACATATTTATTGAGAGCAATGAATGAAAATAGATCAGTAATTAAATCTTAAAGATACGATCCTACTTTCTCTCCCCTCCCCTATTGCTTAAGACCAAAGGCTTATATGATAAAATTTTAATTGAAGTGCATTAAACATTTCATAACAATGCAATTTGAGATCAAGAAGTTTAAAAATAGCTTTGACTTTCTTTTTTAATTAAAGAAGTGTTGTTAATAGAGGCAACAATAAATTGAAAGATTTGAATAAGGCGTCTTGAAACCTTCGTAATTTTTCTTTCTAAATTGTATTTATATAAAAATATAGACATCTACGCGTCACGAGGATTCAGACGAATCACTAACTAATCCCTCAATTACAAGTTAATGGTAATAATAATTTAAACTCATTTATTAAAAAAGTGATTTGGCTGCCACAAGTTTGATTTAGTGATTATAATAATTACCAAAATAAAAAATAGTAATTTATCATAATGATTCGGAAAATCAATTTTCATATTATCATCAATGTATTTATTATATATCATTTATATATGTATTATGCTTATCATCCAATTCAACCAGTTTTGCATAAAAAATGTTGAAATAAATCTTGCTCATTGGATATATTTGTTATAAATCGGAAGTAAATGTGTCCTTCAGCATTTTTTATCCAAGCGGATAGAAAAACAAAACGAAAATAAATACAAGTTAAGTTTTTTTAGTGTAGTTTTTATACTTCTCTAATTGTCTCAATTCTGATTAGATCTTAAAGATACGATCTAATAATATAATAGAGAGAAAGGAGCTTTTAAAAAGTAATTAGACAAGGATACATACGTGAACTTCAGAAATTGCTGGGTGAACACTTAAGAAGCTCTCAATTTCAGCTGTCCAAATATTTTCTCCTCCTCTTATGACCACGTCTTTTATTCTTCCTACTATTTTCATCCATCCCTTCTCATTCATAACACCAATATCTCTGAAAACAATAAAGAACAAAATTTTGCCAATGAATAGTTTACAGTTATGTATATATATATATATATATATATATATATATATTTTTTATTGCAATTCACCGTATTAAATATTCACTGCAGCAGTTTTATGCACACTCATGGATACATTTTTAGTGGACATAAGCTAACATTAGACGATAAAGCATCAACAAGTACACAAACGAGGGTGGTTCCGAAAATAAAATCAAGAANTATATATACATCAGCCCACGCGATTATATCCGCAAAAAAGATAGATATATATATATATACAACAAAATAAATAAATACTAGAAAACACGAAGAAAGTTAAGAAAAACAATAAGTTTCATTTATTGCGCATAAGCTGGAATTAAACAGAACTCATTAGATAAGTTTAAAATGAAGATAAAACAAAGGAAAATCATAAACATATGCAAAAGGGGGGGGGGAGAGATAATAATGAAAAAAATAACAAGCAACTGATTAAGAAAAAAAGAAAAAAGGATGAAATTTTTTAAAAAAAAAAAGCGGAAAATAAAAGATATAATTTTCCGGTTTTTAAAAAAAAATTTCATCCTTATTTTTTTTATTTTTTTTCTTCCCATTATTATACCCCCCCCCCTTTTGCATATGTCTATAATTTTCCTTTGTTCCATCTTCATTTTGATATATATATATAATACAATTTAAGACAGAGATTCAAAAACAATGAAAATCGAAGAAAAAGTAAGACATATAAAACAAGTTGTGACAGTGCCAAGCTGCTAATGTCTCGGCTGGAAGAATATTTAAAAAAGAATATATTAAGATGAAATGAAATAAGTCATTACCTCATAAGAGAACTAAAAGTAAACTAGAAGAAAACCCAAATCATTAACAAGAAATAACAAACTACTTATCACCCTGTAAGCCATTTTTTATATGTCAGAGTACCCACTTTAATTCCTTTTTAATAATTTTGGTTTTCTTAAGCTGCAAATATATGGAACTCATAAAATAAGTTAAGAATATAGAGAAAACATGGGGAAAATGAAACAAAGATTAATGAAAAGAGGAGAAGAAAAATTCTCAAAATAAAATATTTTTAAAATATTTAAAAAAAAGTTTAAAAGTCGGAAAACAAAATAATGAATAAATATCAGCTCCCACGATTATAACCGCAGAAAGGATGCTTTCTAATATCGTATTAATATAGAAAACGCGAAATATATCAATACGATAGTGTGAGGAGCACTCAAAATTATTTAAGGGAAAATAAAACATATTAAGTAAAAAATATACGAAATAAAACATCTATAGCAAAAAATAGAAAATGAAATGCAAGAAAAATACGGAATAAAATTATTTTTTTAAAATTAAAATCAAGAATAAGGGAAAGGAAATTATATGCTATGTCACAGGATTTTATAGCAATAATTATTATTCTTCTTGCATAAACCTCTGAAATTGACAAGCACATAATTGCATATTCATAATGTCAAAGGCGTTCAAGAAGTTAAACGAAGGTTTATTTCTAAATATCACAAATAGGTAAGGTGACACATTTTTCTCTAAAATTAAATACATAAAACTGTATCACTTGATGAAAGGAATCGTAATAAATATATAAATCACATTTAATCGACTGAAAGCTACAATCTTTTGCAAAGAAAAAGGAAGAAAAAAAATCGGAATTAGTTTTAGCTTCTGATGGGTAGGTATTTTATTTACGTGGTAGGCCTCCATGTAAACCTGTTCCGGATTTAACGGTTACCTCCATCAAGGTGTGGAAGTATTGCTAGGAAAACAACCTGCTTCCTAACGGAGGATCCCTCCACCCTCACCCCGTAAGCAAAACCCCATTCCTCTCTGCTCCCAACAAACACCTTTCTCCTTGTCTCCCCCCACTCATGTAAATAAACAGCTAATGAAAAGTGACCCCGTCTGCTTTTATTCTTTACAGACTTATATGGTTTTGAAAAAGATTTACTTATTAAACAAGGAAAATATTTACTTGTGACGAAGTCATTAAAAAATGAATATAATTTATTATTTTGTATAATTCAAATAGATATCGGTCACTTAAAGATGTCACTTTAAAGATGGCGAAAAATTTTTTGTTAAACAAGTTTAGAGACGCTATGATGGATGAAAGATGTGCGCATGCTTCGGCTCAAAAGCCTTTGGCGCTTTTCTTGTCATACAGAGGGACCTTGCTGGCCCCTGCTACGTATCGGAGAAGCTGGACTTCTTCTCACATTATATATACTTTGGCTGCACAATGGGCTATTGGCGACGCTCTGGGAAACATCTCTGAGGATGATCCGAATACATGCCATCGCAATTATGATCCTCTACAAAATGGATTACTCCCCTGCTTTGGTAGCTCGGCGATCTGTGCGCGAAGTCGAGCACTTTACGGTAGAACAGTTTAACGAGAACCGATACCGGGCCCCCTTGGTCCCTACGAAGGTTGATCAAACTGGTCACCCACCCGCCTACTCAGCGTAGCCTAGCCAGTGATGCTTGACTTTGGTGTTCTACTGGATACCGTGCCTTTACAATCATTTCATGGCAGGACTTATGGGAAGTATATGTGAAAATATGGTACCTTGAAACATATACCAGGTGTTTCAAAAATGAAATTTGATTTGAAAAACTAATTAAAGGAAAACGAAAATAGAAATGTACGGTTTGCTGCGTATTTTTAGGAAATGAGTCATTTGGTTATAAAACGTTTAAGTTCCCTCTTAAGAAAATACAGCAAGCCATACCTTATTATTATTTTCTTCCGTTTTTCTTTGCTTCAATTTTCAAGTATTCAGTCTTTTGGGGCCTTTCTACTAGCACACACCCTTTTATACAATACATTTAGAGTTTCAAGTTTCACATCTATATTAAATTATTTCCTATTTTTTCCATCTTACCCTGTATGAAACCATCTTGATTTATCAATCGCTTCTTCTGTTTTAACTTTGTTGTTCCAATAACCACTGAACACGTTAAAGCCTCTTACGCAAATCTCCCCTCTCTCACCTTTCGAAACGATTCTACCATCATTGTCTATAATTTTCACCTAAAAGATTTCAGTACTTTAAATGAGATCTAAAAACTAATTATGAGCATATAATTAAAGAATATAATGTAAAAATGCATAGCTGATTAAAGCGGTGAAAACTTTCAAGTTTCGAATCCAGCATTTCCTTTCTTAACAGCAAAATTTTAAAAATCATGTGTGTTTTGAAAGATCTCGGCCAAAAGTTTTAACAGAAGCGTAAAGCCCAAGCTCCCGTGCAGATATGGCTTCTTACCATAGATTCAGATTTGGAGGCAAACGAATGTTTAATGAGCCATCTCCCAAACTAGATCATGATGAGATGAGAAACTATTCCTGCAACTACGCTGATAGTAAAGCATCTGACAACATAGATGAACTGATCAGTAGAGCGGCTTCAAACAAGCTACGTTTCGAGAAGGAATACAACAGAACCAAGGATGATACCGACTACGAAAATCACATCAGAATGGGCTATACGGTCGAACGATACCTGATGATCAAGGAGGAACGGACTGCTAAAGAATCAACTATACCAGAGATAGCTGAAAAGACTAACACTACTACAGAGATAGAGACCAGTAGAACAGATGGAAACCCAAGCCCCAATTACAACATCAACACCCAATATAATGCCTGAGGAACAACATCAGAGCTCCATAGAAATGGAAACTTTCAATAACTCCGGCTGCCAATGAAAAGAAGAAGAAGAGAAAGAAAATCAAAACTTGTGTCAACCAGACGATGCAAATCGATTCAGAATCCGACAGCGAAACTAACCGCCCAGTTCCAGTCTCAGCTCCCGCAACCCCTGCGGATCCAGCACCGGCGGAGAAAGAGGAAGAAACCGAAGCTTCGGCGACGGTGAACTCTCCCACTCCAATTACATCTTCTATCGACTCTTCAACGAGTAGAAAGCTGAAGACCCTTATTAGAGGATTAGATATAGACACCGATTCCCAGGAGTTGGAAAAATATCTCAAAAACTTTGGACTTTTACCACAGAAGATAGTTCAACTTAAAAGAAGGAGTGGTCAGGAGCTCAGGCCCCTTCCACTTTTTCTGATCACTCAATCAGACAACAGCACCACCAGAAATATTTTCAACCTCAGCTCAGTTATAGAAAAGCCAGTGAGAATAGAACGCTTCCGAGGAGGAAGATTCCAGATTCAGTGCTACCGATGTCAAAAATTTGGACATACGCAACGAAACTGCCCTGCAACCAATCCTGGCCGCATGAAATGCGCCGGTCGCCATCTCTCGTACCAATGTACGAAGCCTACAACTACTCCGGCCACTTGTGCCAACTGTAATGGTGAGCACCTAGCTTGTTTTACGGCCTGCTGTGCAAGACCCAGGAAAGCACCGAAAGCAAGAAAAGCTCGTCCCGTGAAAGCCACCGACACTGACAGCAGATTTCTGCAACTCTTCAAGGAGATGAAAGAACTTTTGAAGGACGAGGAGCTTATTAAGCTTCTTCGTTCTCTACTTCCAGAGTCCCAAAACTGATTTTGGACTCACATTCACTCAGGATTTTTTCTATCCTGACCTCACAGCTCACCGCTGTGAATCACCTTTTTATCCCAATTCTTATAGGTACATGACGAACAGTTTATGACCTATTAGATTCGACGAATCAGTTAGTTGCACTTCGCGCCAAATACTGAGATCCCACCAATATCAATCATCAAGCATCTCTGATGCTCTTTTCTATTTCTTCTGTCCCAGTGTACGTTTCTACTGTGTAACTCTCTGCGTAATGATCTAATAAACATGCCATTCTCCGATCCACTGATCTCTGAATTACATCACAACAACAAATAGTTTATCATTAAACATAGTAAAGCTTTTTTTACTTACAACAAAAACCAGGTATGTATGAAATGATTTTGCTACTGCGTTTTTTTTTTCCGTCCTACTTTTAGCCTTGATTCTGAGGCTTCAAAAGCGCTGAAGAGAATGCTTTCAGGTGGAATGCTTCTAATTTTTATTTTCAATTCAAATTGTTTCGGATTCCACCTCATAGAGTAAAAGGCCACTATTGGCCCTACTAATTTTATACGCAATATCAACGTAAATATGGGCTCGCCGTCCAAATCACGCCTTAAGCGTGTAATTTGTATCAGGCCCAGAATCCCCCCTCTAATTCGAAATATAAGACGATTAGCAGTTTTATGGGTAATATTCTTAACAATCCAAATAAAATCCTCATTGTACTTTATTAAAATTTCGAGTTTTTATTGTCAATGTTAATTTTTTATTTTACACAAAGAATATGCACTCCATACGTACTGTAATAAGGATTTGTCCCGGTGTGTACACACGTCAAATGTTCTTAGCTGGTTATAACAGAGTCTCTGCTTTGTGATAAATTGCAAAATAATTTAATAGTCGTTACCAATAGAAAATATCAAATGCAGCTCGATTTAAAGTAAAGAAAGCAAAATGATTTATAGAAAAAGAAATCCAAAAATATTATCGGGTATCACCAAAGCTATTGTATGACTTTCGATATTCACTAATGTTTGTCTTTTACAATAGCTATTGACAATTATTTTTTTGCTTTTGTGCTTTTTTATTCGGAATACAAGCAAGTATTTTTTGCGAAGAAATTTTGACTATAGTCAAATCCATTTTGCTTTAAATTATCACAATCCATTGCATAAATATTTTTTATTGAAGGTTTTGCAAAGACCTTACCTCGAGTTCTCCGACAGATTCCATAAAACCACTTGACATAGTTTCTAAGTCGGCATATGCCTTTGTCGAACACACCGTAGAGCTGGTTTCGGTCATACCATAGCAAACCTGAAAAATAGATCCTCATTGCACATATTTTTATGTAATTTTAATATTTAGGATTGCTATAAACATACATATATTTTTTAAATCTTTGTAAAACACTAAAGAAAAAATAATAAAAGGAGAATGGAAGTATATTTTAAGCTTTATTTAAATTTCGAAAAGAGGAGATAATTATCGGATGTAAATATGGGCCTTATGGGGCTGGCCTAGAAGAAGCGCCCTGGCATGTTGAGTAAGAATGTTATCTTCTTACATGTAATTCCATGCAGGTCCCTTAATGTAAGCAAAATTCAAACATTTTTTACAAGCCACCAAGCAGAAAATCTGAAGGAGCCACCCTTTATACAATCCGGAAACCAGAGACTATCTTCGGTTTTCTAAATTGAAATAAAGCTTACCCGAAACAGGATTCAACTAACAGGGAAAATAGCTGTTAAGAAATGGCTCAATCGATAAGGAATCCTACTAAAATTGGTTGAGCTAATTAATTCTATTTTTCGATAACCAAGCAAAGTAAATGGCGATTCCATTTTGCATCTTTTGTGTGCGTTTAATAAATAATTTTCTAAAACATTTGTAATCTTTTTTAAGGATTCATCCTCGTAAGTGAACCCAAAAGTAAAAACAATCATTAATTATGACGCTACATTATCCTGCTCAGTCCAAAAGAGAGATTCAAATTCAATTTTTTAAAATTTAACTTTATAACCTAAAACTCGAATGCCTTCATCGTTCATCAGGTAATTTTAATAGGCAACACGCACGTGGAAAAAAAGAGTCAAATTCCAATACTTTTTCATTTGGATACTCAGAAGTGATGTGAGCATGCTAATGCAAAAGTATGAGAATCTTGCCTCTCGTATGTTTCTCGATGTAGTGTATGGCTTGCCTTCCGACTGATTGGGGAGATCTTTCCGTTTCGTAAACTATCAATACACGACCGATCAGGGAGATATCCTCATTTGGTTATAATTAGTTGAAGCTGTTAAAAAATGCGTGGTGGCTAGCTTATACTCAGGTGTCGTTTGCTCGGTCGGCAAAAGTGTTAAGCTTCATCGTTGAGCTTCAGTAGGATTTATTTTTCTCTTTTGTGTCTGTTTACCTTTAAAAATACTCTATAAGAGTTAGATAATGTTCTTATAAGTTCTTCTCATTTGTATTTTATTATACGCTTAATAATATGTATGATTTATTTTACTTAATTTTATACAAATATTCTAAAAGTAATATTAAGAGTATTCTTTACTATAAGCACGAGTGATATTTTTAATGAAGTTTTTATTTTTGAATTTTGTATAGTAAAGCTAGATTAATTAAAAAATGTAGTTTGAATAGTTGTTCTTCTGTAAATATTTTATATCTATGATTTTCGAACTTTTGCAATCTGAAGGACTATCTGAATTTTGATTGGCTCTATTTAATAATTTCAGAATGAATTTCAGAACGCGTTCTGAAATATAGCTACTTTTATTACTTATAATTGTTATAAAATGATTTATTTTTTCAAAAAATATTGGGAAGCCAAATTGTGTTCAAAATAATATTTAATGAACATATGGGTCAGTTCTCCGACTGGACTCGTTCGAGACTATTCCGACGATGTTGTTCGAAAACAGACTGAAAAGTTTAATCGGTTTTCATCTAAAAAAATGCCATCTTAATGACGTCAAGTAAAAATCAAGCACTATTTTTAAGCTTGGTATTTTCAAAAGGCATATTTTCCTTATCGTTTTCTTTTTGAGAATTCCACAGCACGAATTTCGAAATCATTTGCAAAATGTTTTTTTTTCCCTTGAGAAAAGAAAACTAATCAGCATCAAAAATTTTATTTGCGATCGCAACACCCTCTAGCGAGAGCTTGAAAATATCAGGTATTCATTTATTAAGTTTTCACTTAGTTCCATCAGAATCATTGGCAGAGTCAGACACCATTTTCTAAGCAGCAAAATAAGAAGATAAATTTCCCTAAGAAAGAGAATGAAGAACTTGAAAAAACTCACTCTCCAGAACACTGGTAAATCTTTCAGAATGACTTCCAATTTCGGGATCGCCTACTATTACAGATGTGTGTATTACGGTAAAATACATTTTTTTTTGTCTTCAATTCATTACAAATTAAAGTGAAGTCAACATTTTTCACTTTATTCCAATAAATAAATATGCTCTCATAACGTTCAGAACTGCAGTAGTCATAGAATATTCTTCTTCTTTATAGAATAGTATATATTTCTATATCTACATGATTCGGAAAACAACAATAAAGAATCATCCGAATTACTTGAAATAGTATCATTTGTGCTGATTATAAATAAATTTGTTATCATTTTCTTGGTAAGTATTTTTTAGTTTTGAAATAATAATTTCAACCAGAATTCAGCTATTCTGGTTTTAAGCTACATATTAAAATTCATATCGAGATCTTTCAATTTTGCTGTGTGGCATGTTATCTAAAAGTAATAAAGGGATAATCTATGTATATATTATTTGAAAATAAAATTTTCAAGCGAAGAACATATCATTTTGGAATTCTCCGGATTTATAAAGCAAATAAGTGTTATGATTTTTATAATAACAAATTTGCTTGTAAATAAATTTTTTTCTATTTTGATGATAGTTCTCTACAGAATGGTTTTTTACGTCTGATTAAACTCTATAAGACTAAAAAAAAAGAAACAATATGAGAGTTTTCTATTTCAATATGAGGGATTTTTAGAATCGTTCTTTTATCTTAAGAATTCTTTATAATTGTTGTCAAAATATTTTTTTTTCTGAAAAATTAAATGGTATAACATTATGTGTGTTTATGCATATTCTAATATTTGAAGTAGTATGATTCAGAAAAGTATGGAATAAAAATTCAACTAGAATTCAGCTATTCTGTTTCTAAGAAGAATATTGAAATTCATATCGAGATCTCGCAATTATAAAATTTTATTGTGTGGTATGTCATCTTAAAGTAATGAATGTATATATTATTTGAGAATAAAGTCTTCAAACGAAGAACATATTTTGGAATTCTCCGAATTTATAAAGCAGGTAAGTGCTATAATTTGTAAATAAAAATTTTTACTTGTAAATAATTCTTTTTCGTATTTGATAATAATTTTCTATAGAATGGTTTTCTACGTCCGATTATTAATAAAAAAAAACAAAAAACATGAAAGTTTATTATTTCAACTTGAGGAATTTTCAAAATCTTTTTTTATTTCGTAAGCATTCTTTATTTTACGTTTTTTAGTTTCTGAATAATGATTTTTATTGAAACTTAAAACCTTTTTGATATAAATTGTTGTCAAAAAACTTTTTTTGCAAAATTAGATTACATAAAATTATGAGGCTTATGTATACTTTTTGTTTATTTTAATGTTTGAAGAAATATGATTCTTAAAATTATGGAATGTAAAGTTTAAATAGGCCATTCATGTTATATCATTAAATTTAGTAAAATTATTTCTCAGGCATTAGGTTTTAACTCTAATAAGAAGATACATATTTCTTTCAGTTTATTTACAAATATTTTTCCGATGTGTTTTGGATGTTCCTTCTCTAAAAAAAAAGAGATACCATTTTGTTTTCGCTTGCATAAGAAATAATATCAAATATTTTACTTTTTTAAATTTAATAAGCCACAATAAAGAAGGATTATTACAATGCTACCAGCTGCATTAAACACGCCTCCAGAGAAATTGAATGACTGTTCATATAGAAATCGCAGACTCATACAACAACGTCCCCTATAGTTCGTTGCAATCGCGAATTGAAGTATGCGAGTTTACCTCTAAATATTAACATTTTGAAAGAAAATATGAGGATTTGATCTGAATATGAAAAATTGTAATACATAAAATTTCTCATTCAACTTACAACCACTGATGGAATTTTCAAGTCATTGTATAATTCTTTAAAAAGTCCATCTTGTAAGGAAGAACCCGCCATACAGACTAAAAAAAATAATAATATAAATATTTTGTAAATGGATGGTAAATGGTCTAATTTTTCTTATAAACACAATAACAATAATTATATTTTTCTCTCCTGAAAAAAATTTATTCATTTCTATATCCCCTTGCAAATTAAAAAATGTTTATTGTGTTATAATATTTAAGTAATCATCAGCGACTTCATATAGTTCCGTTTTATTTCGTTATCGAATTATACAACTTAGATTCCAAAAACAATATAAAAGCTTTTTAAATGTTAAACACGTCAAAAATTTAATTTGTGATATCTTTTATGTGCTATATAAAGAATTTTCACTTTTGATTCGCTGTTGAAGAAAATCGTCTGCAAAACAACAATATTTTCATCGGTTTCTTTAAATGAGAGATGGCGATGTTGATATGCGTTTCCGCTTGGAGATTGGTATCCATTTGGCGTGCACTTAAATGCAAACAGAATAACGGTTCTATCAGGAATAGTTTCTAACGAATGGTTTCTAATGGAACAGAATAATCTCCATAAGGATAATGGTTTTTTCTTATCTTGCAATAAAGTAGAATTGTTTTTTATTCGAAAAGGTTCCAAACTACTAACTTTATTCACAAGAAAAAGAACAGAAAAAAAAATATTTCTAGAGGGTTGTACCATTTTTATTAAAGGAAAAACCTTGCAGATTGTAATTGCCCTAAAATACTAAAAAGTTGTTACAAGAATACAACATCATTGTTCGTATACTTTTTTAGGTAATTTTGTACTTTTGTTGGCTCAGTTTTCAACATAAGATCTAAGGATACAAATTCAATTCTCCCGCAGGTGCAGATTTGATTATTCGATTAATATATTACTAGATTGATGTAATACCTTCCTTTATAGGTAAATAACTTCAGTGGTAGGATCAAGGCATTTAAAAAAATTTTTATGTACTTTAGTTTTGCTTCAGAAGTATAGAAATTTAGTAGTAAAGGACATTGATTTTTAGTATAAGATTTTTCTTTATGATACTGTCAATACTGGTACAATATATGTTACGGCGAATGACCGAAATAGGTGATTGTTGACTTTCACCGGTGAATGTCGACAAACACCAAATACGTAGGTGAAAGATCGAATATTTCATTACATTCTTGTACATTCGGACCCTCACCGGTGTATGTCAACAATCACATAGTCGCTTTGGTGAATGTCCGAAATATTTGTTATATCCAATTTTATATTAATTTATTCGTTGATATTATTATATTTANGTGGAGGAGGAGAAAAAGAATATCGAATTACACTGTTTAGGTTAATGTAATTTCGTTCTCCCACCACAATTACGCGTAATCCATCGCCAATTCCACATGCAATCGCCACGTTTATAATCTACGGTATGTTTTGTCAATACGCATACCGGGCAGTGGCACTTAACCTTAAGTGGCTCGGTATACCCTACACTGATGTTTTTTTAAGGTTAAGTGCCACTGCCCGGTATACATTTGCCCGGTATACCACTGATGTTTTTTAAGGTTAAGTGCCACTGCCCGGTATACATTTGCCGGTATACCCTACACTGATGTTTCTTTAAGGTCAAGTGTCATTGCCCGGTATATATTTGCCCGATAATTGGTGTATACCGGGCAGTGGCACTTAACCTTAAAAGAACATCAGTGTAGGGTATACCGAGTAAATGTATACCGAGAAAATGTAAATGTATGGCCCAATACTCCAAACACTGATGTTTCTTCTGATCTATCGTTAGTAAGTATTAAAATATCGAATAAATGTAATTATATCCACGAATAAATTCATATCAAATCGAATGTAATAAATATTTCGGGCATTCACCAAAGCGACTATGTGATTGTTGACATTCACCGGTGAGAGTCAGAAATAAGGGTATTAAGCAAATATTTCGGACACCAAGCGACTGCGTGAATGTTGACATTCACCGGTGAATGTCGGCATTTTCGAGACTTCGGTCATTCACCGTAACATATACAAACAACATTTATAAAATTATAATTTAAGTGTTATTGTTAAATTTTATTTCATAATTAAATACCAAAAATACCCAATTACTACTTAATTAAATTAAAGATGTGAAGTACGCAAAGAAATTCAGTACTTTTCCTTGAAAAGAAAGTTATCTTAAAAACATTTTCATAGGTAGTTACTGCCTGACATGTATAAGTGGTGCTATTGCATATACTTTGTAAGCGACAATTTGTAAAGGTTACACGTCCGCAAAGTTTGCACACAACTTGCAAAATAATTTCGTACTTTATCGTATTATCAAAAATTTCGTACTTTATCGCCGAAAAAAAGTTATCTTAAGGATTCTCAAGGCAGTTACTGCCTAAAATATATCGGTGGTGCTATTGTATGTACTTTGTAAATTACAACTTACAAAGATCACGTACTTATGTGGTTACATTTTGTCAAGAATAAATACCGCAAAGAATTGAGGGAAGTAGTAGTAATTGTGTTTCAATGTTTCATTTTATTTTCTTTGATTTACTAATAAACAAAATTAAGCATTTATTCCAAAAACCTTTATTTAAAAGATATATGTTTTATTTTAAGAATATAGTACTATAGTCTAACACAGTGTTTCCCAAACTTATGACCTTTGTGTACCCTTCTTAAATTTTTCGTAGCGCTGTGTACCACTAATAAAAAAATGAATATATTTTTTACTGTAAAAAAAGTGCACAAAAGTTAAAAATCGCAACTGGCTGTTGACACCACTAATTATTAACTGTTAACTCGGCAAAAAATAGCCAATAGAAAAATACGTAATCGTAAATTTTCATGACTAGCTTTGTTTTTAAATAAAAAATTTTGAAATTTTCGTTTGTTGCAAGATATTTCGCATAAGAACGCGTACCCCCGCTAAACTGCTCTTGTACCCCTGGGGGTACGCGTACCACACTTTGGGAAACACTGGTCTAACATAATTCATAAATTATTTTGCTTTTAAAAATAAATTCGAATTTGTATAATTTATGTATACATTTTACATAACTTAAGAAATTAATTAAATAAAAATTTACCTGTTTTAAGTGAACTAATGTCTGTCTGAAGTAGTTTGTAATTCTTAATAATGTCAATCATCATCGTTGGAGTTCCATGTATACTATTGCATCTTTGAAAATAGAAGCAAAGCAAATTATTTACTATTTATAAGTATGTCATATTTTTAAAGCCATATACTATATACATAAAAGAGCCATTACATTATGACCACCCTCCATCTATAACAATGGGCTCGCCCAGGTTTTCATGATTTCTCGGCCAGGAACAATGTCTTCAAGGGGCACATTATGATCCATAATCCTCATAAAACAATCCCTGACATCTGTAAACTACTTGAACATAGTTGCAGACCAGGTTCACCCATTCATGGCAACAGTTTTTCCTGCTGGAGATGGTGTTTACCAACAGGATAAAGCACGATGTCATAACGGTCGAATCATCATGGATTGGTTCGAGGAACATTCCAGTGTCTTGGCCCCCAAATTCACCTGATCTTAATGCAATAGAGCATTTGTGGTCCTACTTAGAAGACCATATTCGTGCTGCCACGCTACCCCCTCGCAATGTGAGGGAATTGGTGAGCGCTTGGTACCAGATACCTCAAACTACCTATCAGCACCTTGTGGAATCAATGCCACGGCGGGTGCTAGCAGTTTTGAGGGTTAAAGGTGGTCCTACATGTTATTAGCAGGGTGGTCATAATGTAACAGCTCTTCAGTGTATATATATATAATCTTCAAACTCCCCGATGCCAAGCGAGTGGCTTCTAGAGTCGTTTGTTGACTAATTGTTGCCAAGATCACTTGATTTGTATATCCACCCGAAAGATGCTCAGTCACTTATTTCCTTCATCTACTGAGATCTTTGGAATTAGAACATTTAACAACATAAATAAATTTTATAAAATTAAATAAGATTATAATAGCAACTTTCCCTGAAAAATCTCGAATTTTTTTCTGTGAAAAAATGTCATTTATAAGCTTCATCCATTCAATTCTTAGAGTATTTCTGGAGTTATGAGGAACATACACTTTTTCCCTTGATTATTATAGATCGGACAAAAATTAAAGCATGTCTGCTAAAATTACCCTGATCAGTAACATGCGATCAAATGAGAAAATGTGTCGATTAAAAGAGAGTTTGAAAATTATCTTCAAAAAAAAAAAATTTGAGTGTGACTTTTTAAAATAGGCTTAGTCAAATTTTAATTTTAAGAGCATCACACAGATATTGCGAAAATGGACTAGCTAAAAATATAGTGTCCCTGTGATTATATTCATACAAATAAGAATTGAGTTGTTTCTCTGATTTAACAACATATGTAGTTAAAGTTCTTGTATATGCAAACTAGCTTTTATACTAGCAATATTGAAAATGTCAATCGACATCAAAACGGAGGAATTGTTAGTCAGAAATTTGTTCTCATTTTTTTTCTTTTCTTGCTCCAATTGATTTAAATAAAACACTATCTTTTATTGACTTACATAAAACTTTTAAACAAAAGTACATTCCTCCTTGAGAAATTTGAAATATAATTATAAAAAATCTGCATAAACTGACCTGTATTTTTCAATAATTTTTAAACTTTCTTTGGAATCAAACCCAGGACTTGGCATAATAAACGTTCCACCAACAACGATTGTACACAATGATACTGCAACACAGCCAAACGTGTGAAAGAGAGGTACTTGACAGCATAAAATAGGTGTCTGTTTAAAACAAAGTAAATAATTATAAAATATTTCGTAAAGACCGCACTTAAACATTAAAAATGTGCATAAATGTAGTCGCAAAATAGCTTTCAAGTTAAAGAAAAGCAAAAATACCATCGAAATCTGACAAATAGCAGGCGAAGAAAAATTAAACGTACAAAACATCAAAACCCAGTGAACTGCCGGACAAAAATTTAAGGTGTTCCTTATAAACGTGTTTCAACTCATCCCTCTAGTAGGTTGAGATGTTTTCCTTCGTCAACAGTAATTTGTAGGTAGCATTCTTGATTTTTCTTTGCGTAAATTTCCGCTTGTGACCCCTACTGTGTATTTCATTATTATTATTGACTAAGTTCCTAAAAATATACACATGTTCAAGAAATTTTCAGAAAATTTTATGATTTCACTGATTATCTCTAGAACCACTAAATAAATGGAACCACTAACTAAGTGAAATTTGGTTTGGAAATAGATTGATTTAATAAAAACAATAAAAAAACTATTAAACGGTAATAGCATTCATTCACCATGAATGTGAACTCCCGATTCCTCACAGTCATAATCTCTGAAACAGTCATCATAAAAGTTAATTTAATTCAAAAATTTACAATAATTTTATATTGAAAAAAATTACTCTTTAAAGCAATTAACTTTCTTCATTGTCTTATTTAATGTATTAAAAAGTAATTAAACAAATCCAGAGGCAAATGTCACGCGGCTTGGAGTTTCAAATGAGTCAATGCATTATAGCTCCTGACATAAACTTCACTCGCGTTTAGTCTTTGTCACGTGGCCTTTCGTTAATAATAATAATAATAATAAAAATAAAAAAAAATAATAAAAAATATAAAAAAACACGCTTGTTTTTCCAAAAGTCGTGGGGCAAGGATTATCGATTACAACAATTAATTTCTCTGCATTGGTGGAGGGATGGAGTACAATGAATAAAGGAGGGCCATTGGCTGAGCCCGAGACCTTTTGTTTTTCTTAATGAAATAGATATCCCACAAAATCAAATTGAAAGAAACGTTATACTCCACAAGAACAAATTGTTAAGATAAGGCGTTCTACATTCTAATTCCTCATAAATCTATCACTCTTTATCTCCCCTTCTGCTGACCAGACGAGTGGTCCTCTCGCCATTCAAGCCCCCGTCTTCTAACGTCCACCTTGTAAAAAGGGGCGACCACAAACGATTTGTAGCTTACAAATTATCAATTTGTTTTTGTGGGATATCTATTTCAATGAGGAAAGCAAAAGCTCTTGCGCACGGAAGAGCGATACATTTGTAACGCAAATGGGGCGGAGCCTCTGAACTGGGTTCAACCGGTTCTGTGTATGTTTGATAAAGGTAAGACTTCTTCGCACGCTTCACAGCCGGTTTTTGCTCCAGAACAAAGATGAAGCACACTTTGAGGAAAGTATTTATGTTTTGGTTTTAAGCTCGGTTAACAATTAACTTAACTACGATACAAAATGAAATTTGACTAGGTGTCCTTTACGCGTAGGTCGTAAAAGATTCTACAGTTACAGTGTAACAGCCGATTTCTAACTTTTCTCCCTTTTATCATATGTTCGAGTCAACATTATATATCACCATGATTGCATCCTGAAAATAAAACAATACGTGCATTTCAGTAATTTCTTTTAGTCGCTCAGAAACACTGTTTCCAGACCATGAAGAGTTGCCATATGGTGGTAACAATCCCTGAGTATCATCCTTCCATAAGTGTCATCCTCCATAGTGTAAAGGTCTGTCGATTTTGGCACATAAATCCAGCATATATCTTTGTATTCCACCAAAATACCGATCACATGAGTAAACCTATAAACCTAAATTTCCGAAATCTAACATAGTTAAATAGTTATGACATACGGGTAACAAGATAAAAAGTAAATTGTACCAGGAACAGAAATTTCCAGCAGATTTAACATGTAGTGCATCGACAACATACTTGTTAGTATATAACCAAAGTTGTAGGTATAAAATCTTTTTTCTTGGTTTTAAAATTAATTTTAACTGTTCATGGTATCTATTCTATGCAAAATTAGCTCTAAAGGTCTGGTTTCTTAGGACAAGCGCCTTATCTGGGCGTCAGCGGGATGTCAACGTCCCGCTGACGCCAACAAAATACTGGTTTGTTAGCTCAAGGCCTGGGGCCCTATTACCAACTCATCGAAACTTATTCCGCTCGGAAACGATTCCGATCGGAAACTAGCTTTCATCGGATTGCCAATTTCGTAAAACCCACTTTGCCGTAACATGAGTATATCAGAATCCGGAATCGAAATCGCCATTCCACACGATTCCGGTAAAATTGAAGTTTGTAGGCGGGGCTAACTTTGACCAATTAGAAAATTATTATAATTCTAATTTATTAATCTGGCAACGATATGTTTGTATTCTCTACTTCTATGCGAGTTAAAATCGCATTAACTTAGAACTGAAAGCTTAAAAATTCATACATTTTCAACAATTTTGTGTTNTGGAAAGACATTCTTTCTAGAATTTTGAATAGGGTGTCTTATCTGTTGCACCAACAACAATGAAAGCCCATTCATCTTTAAGAAAATGACCATTCCTCTTGTCCAGAGGTTAGTTTTACTCCCATGCTGTTTTCTAGAGGAAAAAAAGACACCTGGAATACGAAAGATGAAAGAGACCGCGATCACTTACTTGCAGTCAGATGGATATTATAAGTTATAAGTAAATAAAAGGTGATGTGTTTAGTGACATTAGTAATCGAACAACTTATTGCGCAGCATATTATGACGTCAAGTACTTTTCTTAGAAATTTATCATGTGATGTTTCACCCCCTCCCATAAAACTCAACTTTTTTGTGAAGAAGTGTTCATTTATATCTAACTAAAACTTGTGGACGATGAGAACGTGGTGGATGATACTGACGAGGATGATAAAATTCCTCCAAATCACACAACAGTATTGGAAGCTTTAGACACTATTCGTGATTATTTGCAATATAATTTTGTTTCTGAAACTCCCCCTTATCCCATTAATATGAACTGGAGAAAACTATTTTTGAAATACGACGGCAAAAACAAATACAAACATGTATTAAGATTATTTTGTAAGGAAATAAATTGTCTTAAGGTATGTTAATTTTTTTCTTTGTATAATTATAGTACTAAATACCAAAACAGTATAAATATTAACATTTAATCTTTAGAAACATATTTATTCATATTGTCACTGCAATTTACGTAGCGTTTTAGAATTTTGAAGTTTTTCACACATGCGCCTCTTTCACTTATGCGCCTTTTTCTCTTGGCCCCTTACACCGGTGCACTGTAATTAGATTTTTTTTAGCTATGATAACTGAACGTGGCACTTTTATCAAGTTATTTATGGTATTACAAGCCAAATAATTAGTAAATTTTTTTGATAAACCAATATGTTTTTGAAAAAAAAGTTATTTCTGGTAATAAAGTAATATTTTTATATTTATAGAACTGTACCAGCTGATCAATTATTTGTGCAATTTTGACTTCTCTTAGCTTGGAAAAATTTGAAACGCAGCATAGCTTACGAATTGCTGTCATTTCAACAAAACTCTTCTTCAACGGTTACAATCTATGAGCTTTTTAAATTTAAAAAATGATACTGATATGTCATAGTTTGAATAAAAATAAAATTATTGTAGTTAGCAGTGAAATTAAACTAATACAAAAAATTCAAACTGCGAGTTCAAAAATTCAAACTTCTAACACTGGAGAAGAATAGATTTGAGAGAAACTTCGCCAAGTATGGTAACCAACTGTGTTTTCTTCTCTTTTTCGGACTATTTCGAAGCATTCATACATTCGAAGCATACTTTCTTTGTTAAAAAAACAGGCATCTCAAGGTTACTCGATTACTCATTTTCCAAACTTTTCCTTTTTCCAGTACCACAAAAATTTGCTTCCCCTCCAGACCTGTCTATTTCCACTTCTTACTGAAACGCAATGCCGTGGAAGAAAAGTCACTTTTTCCGTAATAATGGTCGAGAAGGAAAAAGTGTGGAGAATGAGAAAATTGCGTAACCTTGAAATGACAATTCTACTTACTAAGAGTATAGATATACAGAAATTTCAATTCAGATTGAAGTGACTATCAAAAATATAAATTGAAGTGTGTTAGTTCTTAAAATAACACACCTCAAAATATATTTTGTTTTATATTTATTTATCTTTCCTTTTTTTGTACAGATATTTATAAAAAAAATATTTCAAAAATATCTTGAAAATTAAATTTACTAGGGCTATTCTCGATCAAAATGCTTATACAGCTCAAACATTAGATATACGACTTCTTTTTAGAAAAAAAAGTTTTTTTTCTAATATGAATCAAGCTGATTTTAAAACCTCGCTCCTTAAATTTTACTTAAAAACTTTAAAAATAAGTTGTAATCTATTACCATTATGTGAAACTGCAGAAGCTCCGAAGTGCGAATAGCATTATTTATGACATTGCGATGGGTGACAACTGCTCCTTTCGGCACGTTTGTTGTACCCTGAAAATAAAGAAACGTGTGGAAATGAAACACCAGTTGTGTCATATATATATATATTGTNTTTTTTTGAGTGCTCCTCACACTATTGTATTAATATATTTAGCTTTGGCTTCATTGATACAATATCAGAAAGCGCTCTGTTTTGCGGATATAATCGTGTGGGCTGAAGAAAAGATTATATCTTTTTTTCCGGTTTTTTAATTAACATTTCATTTTTTTTTTAAATAAACTGTTGTTTGTTATTTTTTTACTTATTATTCACCCCCCCCTTTTTTTTCATATGTCTGTTATTTTTCTTTGTTTTATTCTTCATTTTGAACTTATATATATAATGTAGTTACAGTATCATAGTGTAATACTCTGAAGGATTGCATGAGATAACTTCGTCATTGAACGCCGCCAGCGAGTCCATACACGAAAAGTTCCGAATTTATAATAGAACAATCTAATTTCACATTCCATAGAACAATCTAACAATCCAAGAACATCATAGAACAATCTAATCTTCCATAGAACAATCTAATTTCACATTCACATTAGATTTGGCGACCACTGCGAGAAGGCAGCTCTCACCAATCATATCACTTTTTTTTCCTATTAAATGTTAAATTTGATTATTAAATTATCGTCGTTATTTTATCTTATGCTCCACAAACTCCTACAAATAATGATGGCTTGCGTCCGGGATTTGAATATCAAGCTGTAATTTTTGAACTTGGAATTGTGGAAATCCCGAGCAGGGGAATTAAGCCAAATAAAACTTTTGAAATCCCGCGAAGGGGATAATCTACGAATTGTGGAGCTAAGAAGAAAAAAAAATTAAATTCTACTCTCGTGGAGGAGCGGCAAATTAAATTAACATTCGCTCGAATGTTGTTCCTGCTTTAAATTCCGTCTTGAATCTGCCGTGAAGGGCAGTAGCTATACTTAATCTGCCGTGCAGGACAGTTGGGATCCAGGAATTTTCCGAGAAGTGCACCAATACTTAAATCTACCGTGCAGGGCAATAGCGATCAGCGAGCAGAGAAGTGCAGCAATACTTAAATCTGCCGTGCAGTTCAATAGCGATCAGCGAGCAGAGAAGTGCAGCAATACTTAAATCTGCCGTGCAGGGCAATAGCGATCAGCGAGCAGAGAAGTGCAGCAATACTTAAATCTGCCGTGTAGGGCAGTAGTGATCAGCGAGTGAAGAAAAGCAGCAGCAGAGACCAGAGAGTTCTATCGAGGAGAGTTAATAGTTAACTATAAATTCGGGACTTCCCCATCTGGACTCGTTGGCGCCTCTCTACTAGGAAGTAGTATCACATGATTTCTTCTCAGTATTACATGTTGTTGATTACGCAATCTGCCGAGATATTACACCACGACGCTGAAACTCCACATAATTATTCTTTGTTTTCTTGGCTCTGAGGTGCAAGAGCAGATGTTCTGGTTAATTGGGTGGTGGTCATCCGCGCGCGGAACCCCCAGTGTTTCGTTCCCAAATATGCTTGATACTTATTTTATCGATCCACAGAAGGGATAAAGGGCTGAGTCAATCTTGCCCGAGGATTGAATCAATAACCTATGACACGAGAGCGCGATATCATGTCAAAATTGCTCATGCGAAACAGTTATTGTTAAAAACATCCACTTTATTTTTATAAAATACGTTTTAATGCTTTTACCTTACATGAAAATAATTAAATAAAATATCCATTCGAAAAAATTTTATGTCAAGTTAAATGATTAAAATAATTCATAACATTGGGGGAGAAAAGTAAACTAAATTCACAATTTTTACAAAATATAAATAATTTACTAACTGAGGTGAATTGAATGTTTACAGGATCGTCAAACTGTATTAGTTTCTCTGTCTGTGATAATATAGCATCACTCTTGCTGTTTCCAGAACTGGATATATCTTTAAATCGTAGAGTACCTCTGCAATATATAAGTAAATTAAATTAAAGCTGTGATCATAAGTATTTATTTTGAAAAAATTTTTTTTACACATAGCGTAATTTTTTTAATACTTTTTTTTCATTTTTATTACTCTACCAAAGTCCTTTAAATTAATAAATTATTAAAACTAATTTGTTGAGAGTAAATGAAATGTATTTCGAATAAGACAACAAGTATTTTATTTATTCTCAATGGAAAATATATTTGTTTTGAATTGTTTACTTCTTGCTTTAATTAATAAATTTTAAATTAATACCAGCGATGAAAAGATTAGCTCTAATATTAAACCATGTTTTCAGTACATTAGGAAACTAACTTACAAAAAGACCAAAAGTCAACAGCAATTTCAAAAAATCCTTTAACAATAACGAAACGATATAGCAATTTATGATTTCGCTTCGAAAATCCGAGAATTTATCGTAACAAAAGTTATTCTTAGAAACTTCTTATTTTGTTCTGAATATATTTAATTTTTTAACGGTTAATCATTTACTTATATATGATGTAATTCGATTAAAAGGCATAAACATTAGTATGGCTGACATCTGGCTGATATCTGTTCCTTTCAATAATTACACCGAAGAGCCATTACATTATAACCACCCTGCTAATAACATGTAGGACCACCTTTAGCCCTCAAAACTGCTAGCACCAGCCATCGCATTGATTCCACAAGGTGCTGATAGGTAGTCTGAGGTATCTGGTACCAAGCGCTCACCAACTAGTACTATTAC